GCTGCAGGAGTGAGAATAGAAGAGATGTTAGAAAACATTTAAATCACTAAAAGAGGTGTTATTTCACACATTAATGCTACACCTTGTCTTGGTGGCCATTTGTGTGTGACGTGGCAGATGATTTGGAAATTCCATTGCTAAAATATTTCCATCACAGCCAAATAGTTCAAACTCTCTGTATAGAGGTGCCAGTTACGACGCTTATGGACCGTGTCACTGAGGTGGTTGTTTTTAACACTGTGTGCTTAATAGTGTCTGTGTCAGAAAACTACTGTTTGAAATCTTAGGGCTAAACAAACATTTTCTAAATGGGTCTGGGAAAATCAAGAAATAAAATAGAACCTTCAGGGCATCTGCCAGCTTTATTTTGCATTGAGCGTCATAGAAGTTCAGTTAAGCTGGCAGGCTGTCACCTATATTTTCCCCTGTGTATCTGCCTTTCAGGCACACACCAAAGAACCCCACAGTGCACTACAGCTTGTGTTAGGCTACTAATCTGTGTTGCCTTGCTGAGCAATGCTTTTTTATATGTACACTTCCTTTAGGGAATAATTCTGCAATGAGGAGCTTTCCAGATATTGTAAGGTGTCTTTTCAGCTTCTGGCTAAAGGGCATTGTGAGAGAAAATAATCATACTAAGTACACTTGTGTACTTACTGTATGTACTGTAATGCAGTAACTTGAATTGTTCCCTTTTTAGTTTTGTTATAATAGTCGTATGTAACACGATGAAAGAAATGCAGCATCGCTTTAGCCTTTCACTTTTTAGACAGTTGATAGGCATTTAGAAGCCGCAGATGTTTCATGCAGAGTCATATGATGTAAATGAGATGGCTGCATAAGTCTTGTTATTACCTGATAGCTGTTACTTCTTTAACTAAAACCACAATGTAAATCCATGCAATGAATAAGATGTCAGTCCCTTGGGAATGAGCACCAGCTTACTTGGAACAGTGCTTCTCAAACATTTGTCGTATAATAATGAGAGTGGACCTGCCTGTCCTTTTAGAAAATTGATCAAAATTTGTTAACCTTCAAGGATCACTTAAAGACAGTCCAATTTTAGTGAGCTGCTACTTAAGATTCTTTTCTTCCTTAACTACAGCTGTCTCTTTTGGGTCATTGCATTCTAAAATACTGAAACTTAAACTAGTAGATATATCAGGTAGTGAGGGATACGATGGTGGGGGGAGGGAAGGCTGAGATTATTGTAAATTTTTTTTTTTGTGGAAAGGAATGTGGTTTACATAGCTTGGAAAGTGTTCAACTGTCAGCATATTCATATTTGTACTGCAACAGGGGGTATTCTCTCACACTTGTGAAGCCAGATTGCCATGGGAAAACAAATGCGTTTTAACCACAGCTCAGTCTCAATTTGTTTAACTTCACATTTATGGTGCCTTGTCCTTCATATCTAACTGACGTTCCAGATTTTCCAAAATTCTTTTATTATAATACACAAACAGTTCAAATGGCAGTCTAATACAGCTTTTATTGTTTTCTGGTTTGACACTTGGGTTTTTTCCACACCACTGTAAAGACCATATAATGACTTTCTGGATTCATTTAGCCATCTCATATTTATGCTACATACACTTTAATAGGCCTAAATGCTCTCCAGTCTTTTAAAATTTGTTGGAAATAGCAGTTTTGTTCTCTTCCAGTTGTTCAGCTATGCTTAAGAGGAGAGCATAGATGCGTGGCATAACCTAAAAGATGAAAAGGTAGTATTGTACATGAAGGACAAACAGCCAACATGACAGTGCTGTGCTCAATTTAAGTGGACAAGCTGAGGCGTAGGCTGTCACGTATGCTTCTGCTTGCATACGTGCATACAGTTACAATTAATAGAGACCTGTGCCAGTTACCACTCAGGTGAGTCAGCACAGTGAAGCCTGGAAGAACTGCAACACTTGCTTCAGTCAGTCTATGTCAGGCTCTGGGCAGTGGCTCAACACCGACAGGTAATGGTTCCACCTCATATGCTCAGCATCTTCATGACGGTGGGTATCCACGTGCCAGCGTTCTCCCTGATCTCTCTTACTGGCAGCAGTATAGTCAGATTTTGGCACAGGCCGCTCATAACATCTGTCAGTAGTAATATAACCGTGTAGTTTTCCAGGAATTTCAGGCTTTGTTCTTCTGTCACTTGTTATCTGTGGCCTTTACTGAGGCTTTTTGCAGTCACTTGTGTCCCTGGCTCACTGGACTCAATTCCTCAACCCTTGATTGGGGAAGGTTGCGATGCTGCTGCTGGCAGGTAGCTAACTGCTCCGTAGGATTTCCTGCATGCTGGCATTCCAGAAAGCAGTGCGTGGACAAGAGGGAAATGTATTTCACTGCAGAGCGTTGAGATCTTAATGGTGTTTGTTGTTTTCTTCCCAACTGTTCTGTATGACAGTGTTTGGCAGTTTGGCCTCACATGTAGATTTCTAGGATATAGGCAAGAATGAGTGCAGCTAGCAGAAGTAGCCAGTGGATGCTGCAGTTCATGCAGAAAGTGCCAGTAACTCTGCCCAGGACAGCATCCATGTCCTTGGCAATGATGGTGATGCGCCTCAGGGCACAGTCCCCAGCTACTGCTGGACCGACTATCCCTGTAACATCAGAGGCCTCAACCCAGAGGGAGCTGCGGAAGGAGGATGCAGCTCTGTGGGTCCGGGCCTCTGGGGAATGTCTGTGGTCCCTTGCCAAGGCTGGGGCAGCAGGAGATGGTTTCCTTGCCCACAGGACGTGCAGTGTTATTAAGGATCTGTGTCACCAAGTAAAGGAGCTGCAGGAGGAGGTAAGCAGTCTGCACAGCATCAGAGATAGTGAGAAAGAGATTGACCAGATCTTTTCCAACACTCTGCAGCAGAGCCCAAACTACCAATGGTACTGAAAGAAGGAGGGTCAGGCAGAGTCTGTGCCTGTCTGTTTGGGAAGTGGAAACTCCCATGATGGTGAAGGTTGGAAGACAATGGCTTTTACCTCTAGGAGGAAGGTTTCTGCTCCAGCTGAAGACTTGCAGCTACAGAATAGGTTCACTGACCTCGTGGCTGATGAGGAGCTGGGAGCTGTCAAATAAAGGATCTGTGCCATCTGAGTCTGAGCCACGCACGAGCACCGAAAGGAAGAGGCGAGTGATAGTAATGGGAGACTCCCTTCTGCAGGGTACAGAGACCCCCATCTGCCAACTGACTCATTCTCTGTGGAAGTTTGCTGCTTGCCAGGGACTCTGATTTGGGACTTCGTGGAAAGACTGCTAAAGCTTGTCCAGCCTTCAGATTATTGCCCCATGCTGCTCTTCCATGTGAGCACCAGCACTACTGCCGGGGTGACCTGGAAAGTCTCAAGTATGACTATGTGGCTCCAGAGGCAATGGTCAAGGGCATGAGAGCCCAGCTGGTTTTCTTCTCAATCCTGCTGGTGAGAGGGTAGATGGATCCTGCAAGTCAACAACTGTTCAGACAGCTGATGTTGGCAACAGGGTTTTGGTTTCTACAATCATGGGACCCTCTCTCTGAGGATCAAGGATTGCTATTTGACTAAGTGGGGCACAAGTATCTTTGCTAGCAGGCTGGACAACCTGATAACAAGAACTTTAGGGTAAGAATGATGGGAGAGGGAGAAGAGGACCAATAATAAAGTGAGAAGCGGTAGGCTGGGTTGGCAAGCAAAGGGTTTCCTGTGATGTGAACAAAAGGGACACTAATCAACAAAACAGGGCTGAGCTGGGGTTGCTGCAAGTATGCACACAAATTAGGATGTACCTACAGACAAGATTATGTGGAAAGCTCTCATTCTCTTTCTCGGAAGTCACCATGACAGAGTTCTTCTCTGAAGTACCTGTATGGCATGCTTGTGCAGTACACAGAGGCTGAGAGATCTGGGATTGGTTACCTTGGATAAAGGAATGCTTAGGAGGGATCTTAAGTGTATAGAATTATAAATAACTGATGGGAGGGAGTAAAGAAGACAGAACCAGACTTTTCTCCGTGGTATCCAGTATCAGAACAAGAGGTAATAGGTACAAGTTGAAATACAAGAAATTCTATTTAAACATAAACCACACTGGAACAGGTTGCCCAGAGAGATTGTGGTCTCTCCATCCTTAGAGGTTCTCAAAACCCCACGGGCTATGACCCTGTGCCAGCCTGCTGTGATTGAACCTGCTTTGAGCAAGGGGGTTGGACTAGGTGGTCTCCTAGAATCACAATCCTGTGATTCTAAGAACTTCATTCTAGATGCATGAGAGTTAGCCCAATTAAAAGAAGTGTCAACTCAGCGTTAAATACATGTAGCTCTGGAAGAGCTACTCAGAAACCTTTTGGTGGAGGTGTTCTTGTTTCTGGCTTTGCAGGAATCAGAAACTCTTGAATGAAAATTAGAGTGACTAAGATCCGTCTGAGTAATGCCAGTATGCTAGAGAATCTTTCTGATCTTTGACTCTATTTGTCTAGTTTTTAGTGCTAGCTCTGAGGCAATGTAGTGGCAGGAAAACAAAATCTAAAAATGTTGAAATCATTAGAACTCAGGATTGTGTAATTTGCTACTTTAAAAGTAGAAATATTTTCAGAAGTTGATGTAAAGATTTGTAGAGTGATGTTGCACACATGCATAATATAGATCAAGTACTTACTAATTATACCTTGATTTTCTTATATTGTGTGTGTCTGAATATCTTGTTGATGTGAGCATCTGTAAACCTTCTTCTTGAGTATACTGCAAAATATGATTAGCTGCTTCGTTGTAAAAATAGGTCTTCATAGAATATGACTTTAAGCTGACCGTTAACATTAGCTTGGGACTCTGGTCATTTCAAGTTGGCTTTTCCCTTGTCAATAATACAGATAGGCTGTTACATTATACACCTAGATGCTAAAGTTAAGCACACACAAACTTGGATAATAAATGCAGTCTATTAAGCAGTGCTGTAGTAAAGAAGAATTTTATAGAAGTATACCTCTGTATTTAAGTGGTCTGCTAACTTCCACTAATTTTTCCTTCCTTCTCCATAGAATGTGTATGTAAACATAAACCGCATCATGTCAGTTGCAAATCGCCTGGTTGAGTCGGGCCATTATGCTTCACAGCAAATAAAACAGATTGCTAGTCAGTTGGAGCAAGAATGGAAGGCATTTGCTGCAGCCTTGGATGAACGTAGCACGTTACTGGATATGTCCTCCATCTTCCATCAGAAAGCTGAACAGGTTAGTGAATGGGGAGGGCACCAACAAAAGTGTCTGTGCTGGAATGTTGAATTGTACTGTTTGCTTTTGATTTAGAAAGAAGTACAAGAGTGATTGAAAAGGTTGTCAAGAAGGCCAGAGCATTCATTTCTGCTGATTTCAGCTGATACTCAAAAAACACTTCTCCTCATGACAGCCCGCTGCCCTTATATTCTCCACAAAATGCCTTGCCCATGTCAATGCAAGGTAGAACTTAGCCAAATTAACTATATGAATCAAAATGAATTTGACATAAAGGCTTAACTAGATGAAGCTTTTAAGTGGAAAGAAAGGGAAGAAATTGGTATAGTCAGTATTAATATAATGCTTTTCCTACATTCAGAAATCATTGCTTGTGCTATTGTCCTCACCATTCCACCCCAATCGGTCCTTGACTGTCAAGATTTAACTCACAGTAATTGCTTACAGAAGACTAAGTTGAACTGGCCTGAAAGTTGAGAAGTTAATTAACTGTCTTCTGAATCTGAAATTGTAGTGGGAGATGTTTACTTAGTATCCCATAAGAGATTCCTCCTATATGAAACAAAACTTTTTAGCTTTAGGCCTATACCAGTTATTTTAATTAAGTCATTAACTGTGTGTAACTGTCAGAGAAGAGGTATATGTAGGGGAAATAGGAATAAATATCCCCGAGTTAATAGTCTTGATGGTGAAAGCATGTTTTCCCCTAGAGGGAATTCAGTTCTGAAGAAATTGCTACGTGTGTGCTGAGTCACTCATTGATATTATAGACTGCCCTGTACATCTCTGGTGAATTTGGAGAGCGGAGGTTCTTGGATGGTTATGGCTGACTAAAGCCCTGGTGTACTGTATGGCTGCTGCAGATACTTTTCTTTCCATTTGCCTTGCTAAATTGGATCCAAGAAAAGGTCTCATGTTTGATATAACTCTAATTTGGAATAAGTGATGGAACCACTTGGGAGTTGGTAACTGCAGAAATAGAGAGAGGCAGCATACTTTATTTTGAGAAGTTTTTTTCCCGATTTCTACTGCACAGATACTCAACTTCATAAATGTGCAGAAATTAGGAATGTGAACATCCCAAGATGCAAGTACACATTGCTTTTCATTACATGAGTGATGACATTGATTTAACTGTCCTTAGACAGACTGAGGTAAAGTATATAGACTGATGCCGCTATCATAAGTATTTTTAGCAGGTTTTACAGAAAAGCCACATAAAAAGGAGATGAAGGAATTGTTTTCTGGTATAAAAGTAACCAACCCACTTGAAGCATTTGATAGACACAGTGTGGTAACTTATCAGTACTGATGCTTTTCTAATTGGTTGGGTTATTCAGGTTTACATTTAAGTACTGTCAGCCCTGCATGTAGGAGAGAGATGGTAAAACATGAACAGATAGGTATACTCTGACTTAAATGCTGCACTTTTTCATAAGAGCGTGAAGTTTATCAGAAGTCAGGGGAGTAAATTGTATGTGTGTGCGTGGGGCAGCTGTGGTAAGGGTCGGTGTTACCTTTTTCAACACTAAATGTGAGTGTAAATGGGAGGAAAGGGAATAATGAGAGAAAATAGTGCAGCATCTGCTGGGATTAATTTACTTTTTAATTGCTCCTTCTGTGGTTTTCGTTTTATGATTAACTGTGATGGATTGTCCTACTTGCTTTGTAAGATACCTAGCTGTGATATATTAGCTGTTTCATTACAGTGGAGAGTGAGTTCAAGGAAAGAGGGTTTGGAATGAGAGGAATGGCCCCTTTAGAGACCGGTGACGCTTGACCTACCTAAAAAGATGATTAAAAAATAAGCAGCCAAAGAAATAACACACCCTTCTTGAATGCATGTCTTGTCTTGCAAGTGACAGGTAAGTGTCGCTGCCTACTGTCAGAGAAAGTGAAGACTGCACCCAGCTGTCAGCACCTGCTGACCGGTGCAAGAGGTTTAACTCTGTGGTCCCGCATGGAGTTTTTTTTTAGTGTTCAGGGCTTAATGTTAGAGATTTTTGAACTTGTCCCTTAATGAAGTGAGAATTAAGTATCTTAAACTTTAAGTAATCTATCACCCTTTCTCGCAGCTTTCAAACAATAATGGAGTACCAGAAATGGTCTATGGATTACTTTTTCCTCAAAAAAAACTACATGTGCTCCAGGAATTAAGATATGTGTGAGAGAAATGGCTTGGTCTCTTGAAAATTTCTGAAACTTGAGCTTGACGTGAATAGAGGACAAATTTAGTTTACAGATTCCACATGTGCTTGGCTGTACTGTGTTTAACAGCTATGAAAACTAGAAAAACAGGTTATTTTTTCTTTCCTTTCCTAGTGTAACAAGGGTGTAAAATTCATGCCCCCTAGCTGTCGAAAGTAAGTTGACACAACTTCTCCTGTGCATGACAGAAGTTTCTTGTCTGTCAAGACAGCTTAAGCTTTAGAGATAACTTAGATTGTCTTCAGAAGAGATTCTGTTGCAGTATCCTCAATTTGCCCTGAAAGACTTGACTTCAGCAGCTATGCTGACATAGCTGTATGCTCAAAGTTCAGTGTTAGTCCTAAGAGAGTCCTGCTTAGGTTGTAAATCCTTTACGTGCTTGATGCTGTAGTAGCTTGCCAAATGGATTTAGTGCTTCTCTGCATGTAGAAGTTAGTGCTTTGGGGACTGAGATGTGAATTTGCTGTGCTCTAGCACTGCCTTGCCTCCCTTTCCAGTAAAAGAAACGATGGAGTGTTTCAGTGAACAGTTCACCATTAATTCTTTGTGTGTGTGTGCGCACACATGCAAAGTAACTTGGTTTTCTCTGAAGATTTAAAAAAGGTGAGGTGATACCTCATGAATATCTGGGTAAGAGCTCTGGGTCTGGACTGAAAAGTTGTAGCATGTTTTACCTCTTTGTGTAGACAAGATCTTAATGGACTTTCACGCATCTGAAATGGTAGGTGCAGGGTGAAGTAAACTTTTATTTAGCTGCAAAGTCAAGAAAAGGAGCAAGAGTAAACTTGAAGCATCAGTACTGCCAACAGTTTAATTGATTCTGAAGGCTGCCAACGTGCGACTAAGCCTGCCTGTCTGTAAACGGCTCAAAGTGTTCCGTATAACTAAAAGGACAAGTATAGTCAGACTTGAGTATTTGTTTCTATTCTGATATAAGCTTCATTTTGGTCAGTTCAGAGAGAAATACATTAAATTTTTTTCCTTTAGAAAAAGTCTTTTCAGTTGCTGTCACACAGATGCCGGTCCTTTTGTATATTACCAACATATTACCCAAAATCAAGCAGGATGTTTTTTCTCTCTTGCAGTACATGAGCAATGTGGATTCATGGTGTAAAGCCTGTGGTGAGGTGGAGCTTCCCTCAGAACTGCAAGATTTAGAAGATGCTATCCATCATCATCAAGGGATATATGAGCATATTACCTTGGCTTACTCTGAGGTGAGTGTCCTGTTTGTTTCCTTAGGTTGCTGACTTGATAAATTGGTGTAATGTTAAGTTTGGATCATGAACTGGCATCATTTGTTGCATAGTGCATTAGTTGGAAACTCAAGTGCCGGGCTACTTTTAAAATTTTGTGTGCTGGGCTTTGCTACTGTTGTTCAAAAGTTAAGTGTTAAAGTCTTCTTGATCTTCTGAAGGAAACTTAAAAGGCAAGGTGGAACCATGTGTGGTACAAACAACCCATGCAGTGTGCTAAGTATGTTTTAATTTACATTTGCATATACTGCCTTTTAATAGCAATATGATACTATCATTTAAACACTTGAAGGGAAGCTAGCTGGGGACTCTTTGGGAAAGTATTCTGTTGGCACGGATTGCTTTAAGTGTGTTTTGAAAATCCATCTCTGAAATTGCCTCACAAAAAAGGCTTAACCATCAAAGGTTGTCCCTTGACAAGCTGGAAGGTAATATACTTAGTTCTGCCAGCCTCAAAGACTCTTAAATGAACCAGTGTGCCTATGTAGTCAGCATTCGTAAGTAGAAAGCATGTCCTATGCTGCTGCTGTAATCTTGGATATTGCACACAATGAAGTAATAGTATTTCTCAGTATTTCTAATAGTTGTATTTGCAACTTAAGATAAAATGCTTATTCTGAAGGTGGCCTGGAAAACAATGACTAGTGTCTATTGTTTTTCTTCAAATTTTGTTTTCTCTCATGTGCTTTGGTTAGCTGAAGTGAGAAGTCTCTATTTCCTGTATTTCCTGTTGAGCTTTTCTTGCTTTCTTTTTCAGGGGTTGTTCTCATCATGGGGTTAAACTATTTTTGCTGTTAAACTGGACTGATGTTATTCAGGATTAAATACAGCAGCTTCTGTTCTTATAAAATTGTATAAAATTATGCATTGTATCGTGGTAAAAAATGGTCAGTGGACACAGGATTGCTTAGGCCACAGCTTGCACCTTCTTTTAAAAAAGGTCATATAGGATTGAGTTAATGGTTGTGATTTATACATTACATTAAAGATAAAACTACTTTCTGATGAACCAGCTCTATTATGGGCAACTGAATCGTAAGTCTGGTCACATTTAATTTAGCAGTAAAGGAAGGTAAGATTAGTGCTGATGATCAGTCCTATTGTTAGTATATCAAAACTGTTTTTTTTAAATACCTGCCATCTTACGGCCTGCATAAACTTTATTACCTTGAGTCAGATGTCCAGAGTTCACATGAGTTGTT